CGGGTTAGATGGATTTTTGTATAATGTCCTTAGAGCTAGCTTTTTATGTTTCTGTATACTTCCTAATTTGAATAATGTGTTTGATATTTGTTGCTTGATAACCAAAGAATAAAAGTTTAAGTTTTGAGTATGATTTGGTCTTTCTTTCGATTTATACAGCTGTTAAAGAAAAAGGTGCGCCATCACTCCCCGAATTACCCTACATATATTTCATTTTAGCTGCTATCAGTAAATTAAATTAAAAACCACATTCAGGTTAATAAAATTCCTCCACAAGCTTGTTTAATGGCATCTGTAATTTTGCTCCCGCTAGGCGGCGCTAATGTGGTTGGAGGTCAATCTGTCAATCAAACTAGCGCCTCCTATTTCTAGCTTTTTCCGAGTGATTTTTTTCATCCTCTTTTAGATGACAGAACTGGCCTTCGGAGGTCGGCCCGGATCCGGCGACCACCAGCGAACCGGTACCCGTTTGTCTTTTATGTAAGGACGAAGAGGGAATTACAGCACATCAATAAGAATATCCCTGAGGAGTGTCTGGCAAGGGCGATCAGTAATTTTCGAAGATTTCAATATTTCACAAAATTCACTTTTGTTTTTCAAATAAAACAGCGAAACGCGGGCGGAAATGTTTAAGGGCGGTACCGTTCGATTGCATGATTCATGAATTTTCAGTAACCATCAGTCAATTTTGACATATGAGGTGTTGTTAGATTGATCTTGGCAGTGCGAGTGACACCGGCTGTATCAAAATTTTATAAAATCAAAATGGCGGAGTTCAGTTGAACATTTTCAGTTTGATATTTCTTTTTCAAGAGCTATAGCTTAAAATACAGCACAATTAAAAAATCAACATTTTCAGTTACTGCAGTCGATATTTTTGTATTTTTAAAAAAAAATACTTAGTATTACAGCGGTTTCCTACGAGAAGCAAAAGGTTTGTTACAATTATACTTTTTCTACATAATTTACTTACTCTTCAATAGAACGTGGTTTGCAATTTTCAAGGAATCTAGCAGTTTAATATACATATATTTCATTTTAGCTGCTATCAGTAAATTAAATTAAAAACCACATTCAGGTTAATAAAATTCCTCCACAAGCTTGTTTAATGGCATCTGTAATTTTGCTCCCGCTAGGCGGCGCTAATGTGGTTGGAGGTCAATCTGTCAATCAAACTAGCGCCTCCTATTTCTAGCTTTTTCCGAGTGATTTTTTTCATCCTCTTTTAGATGACAGAACTGGCCTTCGGAGGTCGGCCCGGATCCGGCGACCACCAGCGAACCGGTACCCGTTTGTCTTTTATGTAAGGACGAAGAGGGAATTACAGCACATCAATAAGAATATCCCTGAGGAGTGTCTGGTAAGTGCGATCAGTAATTTTCGAAGATTTCAATATTTCACAAAATTCACTTTTGTTTTTCAAATAAAACAGCGAAACGCGGGCGGAAATGTTTAAGGGCGGTACCGTTCGATTGCATGATTCATGAATTTTCAGTAACCATCAGTCAATTTTGACATATGAGGTGTTGTTAGATTCATCTTGGCAGTGCGAGTGACACCGGCTGTATCAAAATTTTATAAAATCAAAATGGCGGAGTTCAGTTGAACATTTTCAGTTTGATATTTCTTTTTCAAGAGCTATAGCTTGAAATACAGCACAATTAAAAAATCAACATTTTCAGTTACTGCAGTCGATATTTTTGTATTTTTAAAAAAAATTACTTAGTATTACAGCGGTTTCCTACGAGAAGCAAAAGGTTTGTTACAATTATACTTTTTCTACATAATTTACTTACTCTTCAATAGAACGTGGTTTGCAATTTTCAAGGAATCTAGCAGTTTAATATACATATATTTCATTTTAGCTGCTATCAGTAAATTAAATTAAAAACCACATTCAGGTTAATAAAATTCCTCCACAAGCTTGTTTAATGGCATCTGTAATTTTGCTCCCGCTAGGCGGCGCTAATGTGGTTGGAGGTCAATCTGTCAATCAAACTAGCGCCTCCTATTTCTAGCTTTTTCCGAGTGATTTTTTTCATCCTCTTTTAGATGACAGAACTGGCCTTCGGAGGTCGGCCCGGATCCGGCGACCACCAGCGAACCGGTACCCGTTTGTCTTTTATGTAAGGACGAAGAGGGAATTACAGCACATCAATAAGGATATCCCTGAGGAGTGTCTGGTAAGTGCGATCAGTAATTTTCGAAGATTTCAATATTTCACAAAATTCACTTTTGTTTTTCAAATAAAACAGCGAAACGCGGGCGGAAATGTTTAAGGGCGGTACCGTTCGATTGCATGATTCATGAATTTTCAGTAACCATCAGTCAGTTGACGGGTCAACAGGGCGCCCTCGTGGTGCAAGCGTTCTTTGAGAATAATAGTTCTTATGTCACTGTGCGACGTTTATTTCGAGTCAAATATGGATTCCGGCGTATTAATCAGTGCCCTAGCACTAATGAAGCAATGGTTGAGGAGGTTTCAAGAAACCGGTTCCACATTGCCAACAAGACGTCAAGGTCGCCCGCGGACAGTACGAACAGATCAAGGAATCGAGGAAGTGAGTGAATCTGTTTGAGTCGATCCCGAGCTCTCAACTCGTAGACGTTCAGCGACGATGAGTATTGCTCGCACGAGTTTGAGACGAATTTATGCAAATAGTGATTTGTTGTGCGTGGTAGGTTAATACTATTAAAATGCCGAAAGTGGTGAAGAACCGAAAGAGGAAGTGGTGGATAATGTTGATGAGAAGATAAGAGTTTTACGAAGAAAATTGGCAGATTTAGAAGCTACGCAGATTAAAAAAGATGGGACCAAGCGGTTCCGCCAGCATGATGAGATCACCGGCGAGGTTGTCAGGCACGACGATGTTGCCAAACCTGATGATAGATGCCGACACGACGATGTCGCCAAACCTGCTGTTAGACAAAGGCACGCTGATGTTGCCAAATCTCAAACATGTTTGGAGTCTGATAGTTCTAGTCGTCGTCCTGTTACGAGTCGTACGAGGTCTAAATCGCGAGAACACGAGGAGGATGTTCCGTATCAATCTTCGAATTTTAACGACCCTCCGAGTCAACAAAATAATGATGGAAAATATTCAAATGTAGATTCCGAGGAGGAAGCCTCGCTTGCATCATTGGCTCACATTTTAAGGCGGCAGTCCGCTTTGTTAGCCCATATAGGCGCGAGGACGTCGCCTTTACCCCTCAGACTCAGGATGAAGACTTTATTAGTGACCAGTTATCATGGGTCAGTGGCGATCCTAACTCTGATTGTGAGAGTGAAGCCAGCGCACTTCATTGCGCCCAAATATCTTTGCATAAAGGACATTACAAAGTTCTTGTTATGCCATTAGGGAAGGAAAATATAACAGTGGTTATGGGCCATCAACGCATTCTATAAGCATCTCATGCTTGAGTCTTGTATTTCACCTTTTTACTAATCATCATTGATCCACTTAACGTCTACTACACCAATAACGGAAAAATTCGAATGTCACAGTAGGTACGGGCATTAAAAATGAAAATGACCAGTTGAAAGCTGGTTACCGGGACTGCGCCTGTTACATACTCCCAAGAATTCACGAATAAACAGGCGAGGTCTCCGGAGTGCCCGTTTTAAATAAGTACTTGGTCTGTCTTTATTACAAGACTGTCTCAGATGGATTGTAATGTTTTTCCCGGGTGGGTATGTATCCATGTATCCCAAAAATTTTACGAGCTACAGCTTAAACGACTTGACGAATTTTGACATATGAGGTGTTGTTAGATTCATCTTGGCAGTGCGAGTGACACTGGCTGTATTAAAATTTTATAAAATCAAAATGGCGGACTTCAGTTGAACATTTTCAGTTTGATATTTCTTTTTCAAGAGCTATAGCTTAAAATACAGCACAATTAAAAATTCAACATTTTCAGTTACTGCAGTCGATATTTTTGTATTTTTAAAAAAAATTACTTAGTATTACAGCGCTTTCCTACGAGAAGCAAAAGGTTTGTTACAATTATACTTTTTCTACATAATTTACTTACTGTTCAATAGAACGTGGTTTGCAATTTTCAAGGAATCTAGCAGTTTAATATACATATATTTCATTTTAGCTGCTATCAGTAAATTAAATTAAAAACCACATCCAGGTTAATAAAATTCCTCCACAAGCTTGTTTAATGGCATCTGTAATTTTGCTCCCGCTAGGCGGCGCTAATGTGGTTGGAGGTCAATCTGTCAATCAAACTAGCGCCTCCTATTTCTAGCTTTTTCCGAGTGATTTTTTTCATCCTCTTTTAGATGACAGAACTGGCCTTCGGAGGTCGGCCCGGATCCGGCGACCACCAGCGAACCGGTACCCGTTTGTCTTTTATGTAAGGACGAAGAGGGAATTACAGCACATCAATAAGGATATCCCTGAGGAGTGTCTGGTAAGTGCGATCAGTAATTTTCGAAGATTTCAATATTTCACAAAATTCACTTTTGTTTTTCAAATAAAACAGCGAAACGCGGGCGGAAATGTTTAAGGGCGGTACCGTTCGATTGCATGATTCATGAATTTTCAGTAACCATCAGTCAGTTGACGGGTCAACAGGGCGCCCTCGTGGTGCAAGCGTTCTTTGAGAATAAAGCGGGAATTACATTACGAAACTAGTGGTATGAAACTAGTGTCATGACAGTAGTTTCATCAATAGTTTCACGTGTAAATGTTAAGTTTCACAATGCGTGCATTACTTTCATGACACCGATTTACTTTCGTGCGACGCGCAATTTTTGAACGACACTAGTGTTATGCCACCAGTTTCACGATGTAAACGTGACGCGAATGTGCGAAACTAGTGTCACGACAGCGCTTCAGAGTGGATGTGTGTTTTGTGGCCGTGCACGTGCAGATTGTGAAATCGTGAAATATTCGTTACAAATGGCGAATCAACGCTGGACAGCCGATAAAAATATACAGTTCATTAATGAATACCAGCGAAACGAGTGTCTTTGGGATCCAAAACACCCTGACTACAAAAATAGAGATGCCCGAGACGCGGGGTACAAAGCAATTATGGAGGTTATGCAGATGGAAAGTGTAAAAGATGTAATTTGCAAAATACGAACACTTCGTAATACTTACAACAATGAAGTAATGAAGACAAAAAAATCTAATACTACTGGTATGGCAACCGATGAACAGTATATCTCTAAAATACCATGGATCCCTCATATGGATTTTTTAAAAAATACTGATGGTTATGCCAGAGAAAACACAGAAAATTTGGTAAGTTTTTTATTATCAGCTTCCAATATGATTTTGCATTTAATAAATCATCCTATCTTGCCATTCTAAACGCCCTTGCCCAACAAAGTAGTCAGTATAATGCTCGCGTATCCGGTGAGCATTTCTCGAATGGTTTCCACTGAAATTACCCAGTGGCCTAAATGAGTTCTGTGCTATAGTACGCCATGATCCTTCCACTAAGTCTCCTGTTTCTGAGTTTTCTTCATCAATCAGTCCTGGCTCAATGTAGGTTGATGATCGGGTCTTCAGCCAGTTATGCAAGACACAACATGTCTTTATAATTTTGTCCACAGTTTCTGGGAGTAGAGCAATAGGCTTTTCAAGTATACGAAATTTGCTAACCAACACTCCGAAGGCATTCTCTACAGTCCGGCGAGCTCTGCATAGTCGGTAGTTGAAAATTTTTTGTTTTTTCGATAAATTTAGTCGACGACTATATGGTGTCATAAGATAGTCAGTGAGAGGAAACGCCTGGTCCCCCAATAAAACCATTCCTTCAGGGGCGTTCAAAGACATTTCCTCCAACTTTTTTTTAAAATTTGATCTGGCAAATACTCCTCCATCAGAAGCTCGACCATAGTGGCCCACATTGATATACCTGAATTTTAATTCACTGTCGCAAACTGCTAGGAGGACAATACTGAATGTGCCCTTATAATTATAATAGTCACTTCCAGAATGTGCTGGACATCGGATTTGAACATGTTTGCCATCGATTGCACCACCACACATTGGAAAATTACATTTATCATTGAAGCCATCCATTATCTCCCTCCAACATTCTTCTGTGTTTGGTACCTGTAAAGAAAATTCAAAATTTAATTATTGTTTTAGACACCCAACACTGCTTCACAGGGTTCAGCTTCAGGATCCAGTAATGATGAGTTTACCATACCACGCACACCTACAAGAAACAAAAGGAAAATTGCAGATCCGCTACTTAAAGCGGTACATACATTGGAACAGATTTCCTCGCAACACGTGCCTAATGCAGGCAATGATGAGTTTGCACTGTTTGGGCAAACCGTAGCTCAACAGCTACGACAGCTTCCTCTGGAAATTGCTTTAGAAACAGAGGAGATAATTTTATCAACAATAAGAAGGCAACGAATCAGTTTTTTGAAGCAACAGTCGTTATCTCAACGCAATTCATCGCCACCAAGACCAAAGTCCACGGCTTCTGCCAGTAGTGCCATCAATAACGATAAAGAAGATGCAAATCCCACTGGTTACAATAACGATGTACTTTCTCAAGCTATTGCCAGCATAACGGAGAGAGAATTGGACTTTGATGAGTATTTTTAGATTTGAGTATCTAACTTTTCAACTGTATTAAATAAAAATGTTTTGCTTACCTGAATGTAGTCTTTTAATGCTTCATAGATTGCGATTAGCACATCAGGTAGAAATTTTGATATACTACATGGTGCCACTCTAAATTCGTATGACAATGACTTCAAACTATTCCCAGTTGCTAGAAATCGCAGCGTAATTTGAAGTTTTATTTTTGGTGTCAATGCTGCTCGACATGTCGTATCCTGCTTAGTGATTTTGTCAGATACTTTATCCAATAAAAAGTTGAAGCAATCTTCACTCGTTCGAAAATAGTTTGTATAGCTCTCAGGATCTTCATCTGCTAATTCGGAAATTAACTGTACTGCACCCAGATGTCTCCTTGCTACCCATCCTCTAACCCACCAACGCTTTTTCTTTCGAGCCATCCTCTTTTTCAGTTTATATATCAACATCTGTATGACAACATCTTGAACTGCAAAATACAGCTTCGATGCTGACGGCGCCATGATCACAGCGATACTGTCGATTTCACGACACTACGAAACTACTTGCACATGAAATGTTGGTGAAATTAATGTCATGACACTAGTTTCATACCACTAGTTTCGTAATGTAATTCCCGCTTAATAGTTCTTATGTCACTGTGCGACGTTTATTTCGAGTCAAATATGGATTCCGGCGTATTAATCAGTGCCCTAGTACTAATGAAGCAATGGTTGAGGAGGTTTCAAGAAACCGGTTCCACATTGCCAACAAGACGTCAAGGTCGCCCGCGGACAGTACGAACAGATCAAGGAATCGAGGAAGTGAGTGAATCTGTTTGAGTCGATCCCGAGCTCTCAACTCCTGGACGTTCAGCGACGATGAGTATTGCTCGCACGAGTTTGAGACGAATTTATGCAAATAGTGATTTGTTGTGCGTGGTAGGTTAATACTATTAAAATGCCGAAAGTGGTGAAGAACCGAAAGAGGAAGTGGTGGATAATGTTGATGAGAAGATAAGAGTTTTACGAAGAAAATTGGCAGATTTAGAAGCTACGCAGATTAAAAAAGATGGGACGAAGCGGTTCCGCCAGCATGATGAGATCACCGGCGAGGTTGTCAGGCACGACGATGTTGCCAAACCTGATGATAGATGCCGACACGACGATGTCGCCAAACCTGCTGTTAGACAAAGGCACGCTGATGTTGCCAAATCTCAAACATGTTTGGAGTCTGATAGTTCTAGTCGTCGTCCTGTTACGAGTCGTACGAGGTCTAAATCGCGAGAACACGAGGAGGATGTTCCGTATCAATCTTCGAATTTTAACGACCCTCCGAGTCAACAAAATAATGATGGAAAATATTCAAATGTAGATTCCGAGGAGGAAGCCTCGCTTGCATCATTGGCTCACATTTTAAGGCGGCAGTCCGCTTTGTTAGCCCATATAGGCGCGAGGACGTCGCCTTTACCCCTCAGACTCAGGATGAAGACTTTATTAGTGACCAGTTATCATGGGTCAGTGGCGATCCTAACTCTGATTGTGAGAGTGAAGCCAGCGCCTTGATCAAGCGGTATTATCCCTTTTTGGGAAAAATGTTGTTCAGTCATCAAACCTGAGTTCGCCAATCCAAAAGGTCCTCTAAGAAATCTGGACCGGAATTTTACACAACGACGAAAGACAATAATTACTGAGGAAATTCCCTCACCCAGAGAATTGCATTTCCTTAGCTCCCCCTAAACTGAATCCCTTGGTGATCACTGCCTCTTCTGATTCAATAACTCAAAGAGACAAGAGGTTGTGTGATATTCAGGCGCAGATTAGCGCGGCCATATCGGCTATTGGTTTGGCGGTTACTAACCTTTTGAAAAGGAAAAAGGAGCGATATGTAGGAGCTATTCATCAACTGGGCGAAGCTGGGAGGCTGCTAACTGATTTATTTCATCAGGAGAAACTCTCGCGTCGAGAGCTAGCAGCACTGAACCTCAACAAAAGTCTGAAGGACACTTTTCTTGATGCGCCAACTGATGAATGGCTTTTTGGGAAAGACCTAGAAGACAGGGTTAGATCCCACAAGAACCTTGCTCAATCCAGTAGAGATTTAAAGGAAAAAAGATTGCGATATACCAGGGCATCTTCCAGTTCATATCCTAATCGTCCTTTAAACCCCAACAGTTCGCCTCGAAAAATCCAAGGGCTGCGACGAGGCGGACGCCCGCAATATCAACAGCCTCGACGAGATCACAAAAGCCGGGACAGAGGGTATTACAAGCAGGAGAAGCAAACAGAGTAGACGAGACACCGTCAGTAGATTCTAAGGTTGGTAAAATCGCTGGTAGGTTCAGGCATTTTCATCAACCTTGGTGGCATTTAACTAAAAACAAATGTGTTTTATCTTGGATTCAAGGTATTAAAATACCTTTTGCACGACCACCATGGCAGTTTAGTGCCCCGCGTGAACCTAAATGGTCCTTACGTGAGCAGAAGCAAATCCAAGATTCATTACATGACCTTCTTGAGAAACGCGCTATAACCAGAGTTAAACCTTGTAAAGGACAGTTTATATCTTAAATATATATATTATACTCCAGAATCAAGGTTCAATAAAAAAATTGAGCAAATCCGGGTTTGTATAGAACAATGCTTTGGATTATTAAAAAACAGATTTAGGTGCCTACTAAAAGACAGAGTTTTACATTATGCACCAGAAACTTGTGTAAAAATCGTAAACAGTTGTTCATTTTTTTGCACAGCTTATGCTTAGAAAACAGTATTCCATTATACAATGATCGTCGCGAACGGATCGGTCCGCGGGACGTAAAATTCGAGTTGCTAACCCCTCGGGTGGGGTATCGAAATCGTACACGTTTCGAAAAATCGAAAATACACCGATACCTATTGTGAGTTGTGGGGTTGCCATATTGTTTAGAAAAAAACAAAAGGTGGTTATAACCCCAACAACCGCATTTCACTTAGAGAAAAGGGTTGCACTCACGCTTTGGCACGAACGGGGTGGAACGGGAGATTATTATCTCCACAAGTACGTTCGCCCTGTGCACCATATCTGGATATCATCAGCAGTGCGGAACCAGCCGAGCTCCGCGACGATGACATCTAGAACCAGAAAGACGACACGACGACAGCGCGAGGTCCGCCCACGCTCCCTCAACGACGACGGCGTCGATGCAGTATACCGAGATGAGGAGGTTGCAGGGAACAAGCATCGCTGTGAGGGTCAGGTCATAGGAGACTTGACTTCTCCAGTCCCACTCTGTCCGGCCACACAGGCCTAGGGTCAAGGTAGGTGCAGTGATATTGATCTCCATGTGACTTCTCCACCTGACGTTAATTCCGCGCCGGTGGTACAGACATTCAGCACGGCACCAGCTCTCGGTGTAAAATGGCCTTCCTCGACTGTCTTGCCGTCTCCTCCAACCAAGAGTCTCAAAACTTATTTGATCGTGTCGCCGATCCTAGGATCGACAACCCAGATTCGAATCCGAATCTCCAGGTCGGCCTCCCTGGCGAGGATGCCGACGCGGTGCGACGTGCCGCGATCGCAAGCACGCGTTTTACACGCGATGCGATCGTGGGCGCGCACCCCCAAGCGACCAACAGCGTTGGTCAAAGATACCCAAACATCACCGTACAACTGAAGTGCGATGAAGTAAATACACGTTTCGATAGAAACTGTACAGTGCGCGGGGATGTCGTGGTGGTATCGAAAAATCATAATATCGGAGGTAGACGTCATGGCGCCCAACGTGGGGCCTTCCATGAAGACAGTAATGGAAGACCTGCTTCAAATTATTCGACGAATAATAGTATTACAACTAGTGTAAATAGACTGAATGCTGTACACCCCTTAGAAGTGAATATTGTGCATGACAATGACTCTATTTATATTGATAATGTGATCGGTATTGATAATTGTGATAATAATGCTTGTGATTTAGGGGGTTCGGTGTATGGTGGGGGTGATAACGATTTATCTTTTGATGAATTAATTTACAATGATATGCACTACTCAAAAGTTGAATTGAATATGATCTAAAACTGCCATTTTCAGGTCTTTGAAAGCTTTGAAATAATTGCCAGAAATCTCATAAATAACACGGTGCAGTAGCCAAATTGGAAGAAAGTAGCATAATATTCACTGCCACTGATTTATTGCTGCTGCGTTCCAGTCTGGAACTTGACTTAAAAGAGTTAAATATATTAAAAACTAATGAACCGTGTTTTTAATTTGCAGATATATGTCTCTAGTTGCTAAATATAGCGAGTCAATTTCACGAAAAGGAATTCCTACACAGCTAGAGCCTACGCAGCAGCTATATCACATTCCAGAGGTCCAGGGTGGCACATGGGGGCTTTCGAGAAGAAGAACTTCTCCATAGGAGCCACCATGGCCAAAGTCTGTCTGAAAAGAGCAAGGGCGCTGGAAAGGAGTAGAGTAGTCTGCAAGAAAAGACCAAAAAAGCAAGCTTCTAGTGGGCCGGACGTGCATTACGGTCCTTATGCAGCTGCCGAGGATATCAGCGAGGACGAGATGGAAAAGAAGAAAGATAAGTTTCTGCAGACTCTAGCCAAGCGAGTAGAGTCAAGGGAGCAGACTAAAGAAATAGAAACCTCCACAAGGGGTCAGCATGAAAATGCTTTGTGGAGGAGTCTACGCAAAGAATATTTGACTGCATCAAATTTCGGCTGTGTAATTAAAAGAAGAGCGTCTACTCCCTGCCACAACTTAGTCAAAAACTTATTACATAGGACTGATAGCTTGAAAACGCCAGCAATTGTGTATGGCAGGGTACATGAGGTTACAGCCAGGAATAGGTATGAAACGGAAACGGGATCATCCGTTGAAGCGTGCGGACTTTATGTGAGTCAGGAGTATCCTTTTTTAGCAGCTTCACCGGATGGTCTCGTCGGCAGGGAAGGCCTCATAGAGATAAAGTGTCTGCCTTCAATTATGGGATCTCTAATCGATGGCGTGAAAAGAACCTCAAAAGAAGCCATAATTATTATTACCAGGTTCAAGGGCAGCTGAATATTACGGGACGCACCTTTTGCGATTTTATTCTCTATTGCGATTCAGATTTCCACGTAGAGAGAATACATAAGGACGAACAACTATGGTGTGAGGTAATGGTTCCCAAATTAACATCTTTTTATAAAGAGTGTATTTTGCCCGAAATCTTAGACGGCAGAATTCCTCGCGGTATGCAAGTACGAGAAAGTACAAGCAAACCGCTTCAAATAAATAAAAAGGTACAAAACAACCGGTAGTTAGTACATTATAGTTGATTTGTATTTTATTATTGTCATTGTTATGTCCACCTTTATTTCAAAGCTCAAGCTCAGATCGAATATACATTTCGTCAATAAATTTCTAATATTTTGAAAATTTTAAAAGTTCCAATCATTCTTAAATTTTTGAATATTATTAAGATTTTAAAAATTGTGAAATTTGACAATTGTGAAAATTTTATAAGTTGTGAATATTTTATTAATTGTGGAAATTCCGAGAATTTTGAAGATTATGAATTTATTGAAAAATACAGAAATTCTGTAAATTTGAAAATATTCAGGATTTTATAAATTTTGAAAATTTGAAAAAATTATAAAATTTCGAAAATTTCAAAATTGCAGTGTGAAAATTCAACATAAATTCTGAAAAATTTGAAAATCTTGTAGATTTCGAATATTTAGAAAATTTTCAAGATTTTGAAGGTTTAAGATTTTTCAATATTTTGAAAATCAAAATAATTTAGAACATTTTATAAATCGAAAAAATTTACTCCCAACGACCAAAACCTTGTTAGGATTGCACGCGATCCTACAAGCCTCCTTTCTATCCAGAAATCGTTGGTGGGGGGGGGGGTGAAGTATGAAGTGTTTTGGATGTTTTTCACGCTCACCATACACCACCATACACCATCACCACGTATCTCCGCGATAGAGCTCTGATTTTCCCTGTAACAATGTTGTAAAATAATCCCTAGTTTTACCGTGCAGTGAAACAGTGCGTTTGTGTGCGCGAAACCGCGGTTCCGTTCCAATCGGACTTTGTAGGAAACCGTGAGATAGACAACAACCAAATTGCTACTCACGGGAGTAGAAGCCACTTGTAAATATTAGAGATAGTTCGTCCTTGCAGTTGACAGGTATCAGAGCACCTGTCACTGTTGTATATAGTTTCGTGTTAGGGTAGTTTTAAGGAAACCAAAGCGATTGGTTGATTTCAGGGTAAATTGTTGTACCAATAAAACGTTGCTGAATAGAAATGCCGAACGCATTTTTGCAACTACTTGGTCATTTATTGTAAAAGTTGCTGAATAGAAATGCCGAGCGCATTTTTGCAACTACTTGGTCAGTTATTGTAAAAAGTTGCTGAATAGAAATGCCGAGCGCATTTTTGCAGCTACTGGATCAAAGATTGTATGACGTTGCTGAATAGAAATGCCGAGCGCATTTTTGTAACTGAGTAATCAATGATTGTAAGATGTTACTGAATAAAACCATTATTATTGTGAAAATAAAGGCTCTGCGTAAACACGCACCCAAAACAACTTCACAATAGGTGGGGAGGTGTCGCCAATCGCGCTTTCTAACTCACTAATACGTTGAGTTAGGAAAAAAGTAATCGCAGATTAAGAATCAGAACGTTCAGATCTTCAATCATGCCAAGTTTCATTAAAATCGGAGATCCTCAAAAATGATCACTTTTGCACAAGGGGGCCTTTTTGCGAGATGAGGAGGTTGCAGGGAACAAGCATCGCTGTGAGGGTCAGGTCATAGAAGACTTGACTTCTCCAGTCCCACTCTGTCCGGCCACACAGGCCCAGGGTCAAGGTAGGTGCAGTGATATTGATCTCCATGTGACTTCTCCACCTGACGTTAATTCCGCGCCGGTGGTACAGACATTCAGCACGGCACCAGCTCTCGGTGTAAAAAGGGGAGCCTTCCTCGACTGTCTTGCCGTCTCCTCCAACCAAGAGTCTCAAAACTTATTTGATCGTGTCGCCGCGATCGCAAGCACGCGTTTTACACGCGATGCGATCGTGGGCGCGCACCCCCAAGCGACCAACAGCGTTGGTCAGAGATACCGAAACATCACCGTACAACTGAAGTGCGATGAAGCAAATACGCGTTTCGATAGAAAGTGTACAGTGCGCGGGGATGTCGTGGTGGTATCTAAAAATCATAATATCGGAGGTAGACGTCAGCATGTCGCGAATCGCGCTCAGTTCCGAGCTTTCAGCCGTTGCGAGTGTACACTTATGGGACTGCGACCCTCTGTGCGATCTTATTGCGATTTTAATCGCGATACGATTGCTATCTACGATGGCGAGAAGCTGACAAGCCAGCTAAAGCAGAAAAAAGATGATTTCACCATGCTTGCAGAGCAGATGAAGAACCTGCAAGAAGCTTTCATGCAGGCAAAACAGGAGATAGAAGAAGTCAAAGGGAAGCTCCTCAAGGCGAAGAAGAAGACGAGGACCAGAATACCACATCGGACAATGAGATGGATGCCCAAGAAGTGGGCAGCCAGCAACAGGACGACACAGAAGAAAAGAAGAGAGCCTACAAGAGCGACACGGACTACAGTAACGTCACCAGGCGGAAGAAAAGAGTAAGGATTTCCTCCTCCGAAGAAGACGATGCACCCAGGCAGCCATAGAAGCCAGCTGCCACCCAGAAGAAGAGTCCTAGAGAAGCCAGGACCATCGTGGCCCCCATGTTAGGAACAGGAGTTCCTCCAATCAACATTGAGGGCACCGCTGATTGGTCATCCTTAAGCAGGATGATCAACAATAAGGGAATCCAATTCACTAAAGCGAGGACTGCAGGGTACAGTGTGAAGCTGTTTACCGACACACCGGCAGACTACCGTCAGCTAGTAACCCTGCTAGACTCAATGAAGAAGCCCTTCTTCACTTACCAACTGAAGGAGGAAAGGATGGACCAGAGGGTAATTCGAGGACTACCCAGCGAGATGTCAACTGAGGACATCAAAGAGGATCTGGTGAGCCAAAGGATTGCAGATGCCGAGGTTCAACAGATGAAGACCAGAAACACCAAGCAGCCGCTACCGCTCTTCCTCGTGAAGACGAGGATGGCGGAAAAGCTGCAGGAGGTCCAGAGGCTGGCCATGCTCACGGTCAGCTTCGAGAAGAAAAAGAGATCGACCGAGCCCAGCCAATGCTACCGCTGCCAGCGGTACTGGCACACGCAGCGAAACTGCCGTCTCGCTGAACGGTGCGTCAAGTGTGGTGAGGACCACAGTAGCACCAACTGCAGTCTGTCGACGCCGCCAACAGGGCAACGAAATGCTAAGTGCTGCCCTTGCGGAGAAGGTCACCCAGCAAACTACAAATAATGTAGTAAGGCCCCGAGGAAAGCTGCTGCTGCCCCCAAAGCAGCCTCCACTTCAAATAAGAAGTTTTTAAGTTTAGTTTTGTGATGATGGAGTCCGATACAGCAGAAAATTCTGATCAAATGTAAGTTGCATAATATATTATAAGTAATCAGTAGCTGATATATTTTTAAAATCGTAGGGATCAACCCTCTACGTCGCGGGTCACAACTCCTATAAAAAAGAGGAAGATTCGGCATGAAATAAAACAAATATCCTATGAACAAAAGTTTAAAGAACAATGGTTGGAAGACCCTAAATTTGCGAATTGGTTAAAAAAACACCCTGGCAATGAAACCCTTTGTATATGTAGTACATGCGAATCGACTTTGAAATGTGGGAAATCCGAATTGGAGAAACATTTAGTAACTGAGAAACATAAAAAAAATCATATAAAAAAAGAGGTGTTATGTCATTAGACGCCTTTGTAGAAAAGAAGTCCGGACATTCTCAAAAAGTATCGGAGGCAGAAATCAAATTGTCCTCGTTTTTTGCCCACCACAAAGTGGCTTTTGAAGTAGTGGATCATCTGATATCCATTCTAAAAGACAGTTTCCCAGATTCCAACATATTGAAGGATGTGAAATTGAGACGCACTAAAACGACAAGTGTGATAAAGAATGTCATTGCTAAGAAAGAAAGCGAAGATTTGGCCGTAGTTTTGCAACAAAACTTCTTCAGCGTACTTATTGATGAAAGCACCGATATATCGGCTAATAAACTTCTAGGCGTGAATGTAAAATTTGTTAATAACAGCGGCTTAGCATGCGACCGATTGCTAAAAGTAATAAGTGTCGACGCTAAAAACGCTAACGCTGAAAATTTGTATACTGCCTTTAAAGAATGTTTAATATCTCAAAATATACCCATAAAAAATGTTATAGGTCTTGCTTGCGATAATGCTAGTGTAATGCTTGGCAAAAATAACTCATTTTTAACAAGGCTTCGTAAATGCCTTGATAGTCTTACCATGTATTTGCCATTCATCAGCACTTGTTGCGAGCAGTGTCTGTTCAAAGTTGCCTCGAACGCCGGAAGAATTTGTAAGAAGTATTGCCAGTTATTTTTCCTATTCTTCAAAAAGAACAGCTCAGCTTATGTAAATGCAACTTCTTTCAAACTGAACAAAAAAAATGTTGAAATTGTCAACAACAAGGTGGCTTTCGATCCAGCATTCTGTACAAAGAGTTTTGGATAACTGGCTAGTACTTTTTCAGGTTGCTAAAGTTGAAGAAAATTCAAAATCTGTAGATTTCATATATGAAGAATTTAACAATCATTGCACTAAAGCAATCCTGTTATTTTTAAGCTATATTTTGAATTTTTTTAATACCTTCAATGAACTATTCCAGAGCAAGAAACTTTTAATTTATGATTTATCTTTTGAGTGCAAAAAAATTTTCAAGCAAGTGATTGCACATTATATTTCAGCGTCCAATCCTCTATATCACTTAACCAGGTAGTACGCCGTACGTTGCTATATCGCGCACAAAGTTTAAAGAATATTTTTTCCCCTTCCGCCATCCGTCCCCCGCCATCCATTCAGCATTCCAGTCATTCGTCGTTTGTGCGTCTCGCGTGCATGTTGCTCTTGCTCCAGATACGACAGTGCAAGTGATCTATTATTAAAAACGGTAAGCTTTACCCTCTAATCTTAATTTACATATAATATTTTAGGACATTTTAGCTATGGAAAGTACTAACGAGAGCAGTAGCTCCGAATCGGAGCATATCTCTAAAAAACAGCTATTTAAAATGATCAAGAAATTGAAAAAGTACATAAACACCGCCATCACTCGCCGGCGCCGGGCGAACGGAAAACGTCTCGTTCACGGTCCCTCTCAAGGCGACGATCCCGATCGCGGCATAGGCCCGCCAGATCACGTGACCGGAGCCCGGCTCGAGACTACCATCATCGAGACGTGAGGTCCCGCTCAGGCTCACGACAAGGCAGCGTTGATCGGCACCCGCGCGGTCCGACATTTTCAGATTTTGACGACCGTTCTCTGCGCGAAACGGAGTCAATAATCATCGATGCCGCTGCTGAGCCCGACGGCGACGGGATGGCAGGTACCTCAGTAGAGCTCGGGCGCGAACTGACTGCGTCCAAGAATGCCTCGCCTGTTTTGGAAATTGATATGCAAGAAGATGAATTTTCAATGTTTTTGGGAGAGGATCCTAACATAACAAATAAAAACATTTTTGAACTACATAAAGCCCTATGTACACGATGGGGTCATATATTGTCTCATGGCCTTGATAAAGATCAAAAGCAAAAAATTTTGGAGCGTTATCCCTTACCAAGCAATTGCCCGGAGATAAATGCTCCATTAGTAAATCCGGAAGTAGTAGGAGTGCTTTCAAACCCCCACATAAAAAGGGATGAAGCCCATTTAGGCATACAAAAACAACTGAATGTCGGTATAAGCGCTCTTGGGAAATCCATGAATATTATCCTAGAAGATAAGGAAAATATTCCTAAAGAAATTAAGGAACAATTACTAATTTCTTTGGGAGATTCAGGCCGAATCTTTTCGGATTTGTCATTTAATATTTCAACCATGAGAAAAAACCTTATAATGCCGAGTTTAAACAAGACAGTAAAAGATCTAGTATCAAACACTACTCCGGTACAATTTCTTTTTGGAAGTGATATAGGGGAAAGAATTAAAGAGGCTAAATCAATTGAAAGAGCCAAAAAAGACCTGAAACCCGAACCAATGACAACTCAGCCTTCTACTAGTACTAACTCTTCGTACAGGCGACCGCATACTGAAGCTAATGTTAGACCAAACTTCAAAGTTAACCCAATTCCTTTAAACAGGAAAAGGCCGGTTCGCCGAGGGGAGGTGAAACCACAAAGGGGCCATCACCCCAAAAAAGAGCAGTACCAGAGGAGGAGGCATTATTGGTAAGTCAATATGCAGGACGACTAAAATTGTTTTTGTCAAAATGGAAGGAGCTGACTACAAACGCACAGATTCTATCCTATATATGTGGCTATAGAATTCCGTTTGATAGTAAGCCCTTTCAAGTTCAAGTTTGTTGTCAAATCTTTTCCCCTGAAGAGAACAAACTAATAACCGCTGCACTGGATGAACTTTTATCTATAAATGCAATAAAAGTTTGCCAGCCAAGCGATGACCAATTCATTTCAAAAATATTTCTTAGAGACAAACCAAATGGTAAAAAGCGTCTAATCTTAAACCTAAAACAATTAAATTCCTTTATAAGTGCTCCCCACTTCAAAATGGAAGATTACAGGACTGCCTTAAGGCTCATCCAGAAAAACATGTTTTTGGCTACAATAGATTTAAAAGACGCGTACTTCGCAGTACCCATAGAAAAAACCTACAGAAAGTACTTAAGATTTTATCACAATAACACCTTATACGAATTTACATGTTTACCATTTGGTTTGTCAACTGCACCCCACTGTTTTACCAAAATAATGAGGCCCGTAGTGGAACATATGAGAAAAAATGGCATTGTTTGTGTTAGTTATTTGGACGATATTTTTTATTTTGGGAAAAACAAAAGAAGAATGCGAAAAAAGTGTGTTTTTTACTCTCTCGCTCCTTCAATCTATAGGATTTATTGTTAATTATGACAAAAGTTGTATTCTCCCATCAAAAACTTTAACATTTTTAGGTTTCGTTTTTGATTCCATAAAAATGACAATCGAGATTACGCAAGACAAAAAACAAAAAATTTTACAAACTTTGCTCATTTTAAAAAGAAGAACTAATATAAAAATTAGGGACGTAGCTAAATTTATCGGCTCTCTAAGCTCTGCCTGCCCAGCAATAAAATATGGCTGGGTTTACACTAAAGCATTGGAAAGAGATAAATGTTTGGCTTTAAATAAAAATAATGGATCTTATGATGCATGGATGCAACTATCTCCTATGTCAAAAATAGATCTATTATGGTGGGAGAAAAATATTTTAAGTGCATACAATGAAATAAAACAAGATACTTTCTGTTTAGAAATATTTAGTGACGCTAGTCTTACCGGGTGGGGGGCTTGTGCAGAGACAAAAACAGCCAACGGCTGGTGGTCTGAAGATGACAAGAAATTTCATATCAACATCTTAGAATTAAAAGCAGTATGCTATGCTTTAAAATGCTTAGCTAAACAACATAAAAATTGTAATTTGTTGATTAGGACCGATAATACGACTGCCGCCTCCTGCATAAACAGAATGGGTAGCGTTCAACATACAAATCTAGAAAAAATTACTAAAACAATCTGGCAATGGTGCGAAGAAAGAAATATCTGGATTTTTGCTTCTTACATTCCTTCTAAAAATAATGAAATAGCCGACAAACAATCTCGATTAACTGCTCCCGAAACTGAATGGTGTCTTTCCAAAACTGCTTTTAGTGAAATTCTACAAAAATTTGGAAAGCCAGATATTGATTTATTCGCATCAAGAGCCAACACAAAATGTGAAACATACATTTCGTGGAAACAAGATCCAGACGCCTTAGCAATAGATGCATTTACTATTTGCTGGAAAGACTTGAATTTTTACGCTTTCCCTCCCTTTTCAATGATAACTCGAACCATTCAAAAAATAATCACTGATAAGGCTGAGGGAATCTTGGTGGTGCCATTGTGGCCTTCACAACCCTGGTTTCCGAAATTCACATCAATGAAAATCGACGAAATAATTTTTTCGCCTGACATTAATTTACTCTCTTCACCTTTTAGAGTGCACCATCCTCTAGCAAAGAAACTTTCCCTGGTGGCGGCCAGATTATCAGGCAAGCTCTCCTCATAAAGGGATACCCACAATGCTCCATCGATACAGCCATAGCTTCAATTTCGTCGTCAACAATGAAGCAGTATGAGGGAACATATAAGCTCTGGTGGCAGTACTGCCAGACAGCAGATGTGGATATGTATAAAGCTGAAGTAAATCATGTTATCTCATTTCTTCAAAGTTTATTTGATGCGAAAAATTATCAGTTTGGTACATTTAATTCGCATAGGTCCGCTCTTTCACTTATATTAGGAGAAAATATACAAAAAGACTATCGTATATCCAGATATATGAAAGGCATAGCAAAATTAAGACCTTCAAGACCCAAATACAATTGTACATGGGACCCACAACAAGTGATAAACTTCTTAGAAAAATGGGACAATTCCAAAATCAGCCTTCAGCATCTATCTTATAACGTTGCAACTTTACTAACACTTGTTACGGGACAGCGAATTCAAACCATTTCTCTAATTAGAACCTCGAATTTCCGAGAAAGTTCCTCGGATATACAAATCTTAATAACCGATCAAATAAAGACGTCTAACATCAATAAGTTACAGCCATGTCTTCAAATACCGTTTTTCCTAGAAAACCCATCAATTTGCCCAGCTACAGCCATAAAAAACTATTTGGAAATCACACGGGAAAAAAGATCTGCATCTGATGATAGGCTATTTATTACTCATAAGAGTCCGCATAAACCAGCGACAAAACAAACAGTAAGCAGATGGGTTAAAAATACACTAAAGTTAGCTGGTATTGATACAGACATTTTTAAACCTCATTCCGCCCGCCATGCGTCAACTTCGGCGGCACTAAAAAGTGGAATCCCCATGGAGTCTATAATGCAGGCGGCCGGCTGGATCAGAGAAACGACATTTACAAGATTTTATCAGAGGAAAATAGTTAACAATACTACTTTCGCTGAACAAATCCTTTCATTAGAATCATAAGTTTATCTTCTTTTCGTTTTTAATGGCCTTTATACTTTCATTTTTAACCTGATTTATTGACATCAGGTATATTATTAGGCGTTATTTCTTTTAAGACATAACGTTATTTTCTTGAGTTGTTAAACAATAGGGAGAAAATCCTTTTTAGTTTTGTGTTAAATTAATGTTAATAAAAAATTAACAAATTTTTTGTATATAACTTATTACTCAATTACAATCGTCACTACTTTAAACATCTACCTGGTTAAGTGATATAGAGGATTGGACGCTGAAATATAATTGAACGATCAAATGAACTTACCTGTGAAATTCGATCGTAATTATATGAAGCGTCCAATCCGAAGATATCACTCCCACCCTAACCCAAAGCTATTCAATATATTATTATTATAATAATATACTTACCCAAACGATTGTAATTAACCAAAATACTTTGAACAGAATGACTGGAATGCTGAATGGATGGCGGGGGACGGATGGCGGAAGGGGAAAAAATATTCTTTAAACTTTGTGCGCGATATAGCAACGTACGGCGTACTACCTGGTTAAGTGATATCTTCGGATTGGACGCTTCATATAATTACGATCGAATTTCACAGGTAAGTTCATTTGATCGTTCAATTATATAA